AATTAACGGGTCTGGTTTTGGCCAGGGATGGTGCAAGAAGCACGGTGTGAATCCCCAGTTCTGGGAAGATGCTCAAACCCTCCAGTCCCTGCACAAGGCCTTGTGAAAGCACAAACAGCCACTCACACCAGCACCAGGCATCAGCCTGACACAGCCATGCCCCCAGCAAGTGTGCAGAGTGTGCAGTGACAGCACTGATGCTCTTGAGTTTTTTGGGCTGGGGAACCTCCAAATCCAGAGGTTGCAGCCTCTGAGTTGGCAAGCCTGGGTCTTGTAGGACTTCTGTGCACTTCAGAGCTTCTGCCATGCAAAAGCAGTGTCCAGGCTAATAGTAGTAATAACAATAATAATAACAATAACAACAATAATAAAAACAACAACCCCACACAGTAAAGCAACACCAAACAGTGACACCCACAGATGGCAAAGTGGCCATGCCAGCTTCAAGGCAAGCCCTTGTCTCACAGGGAGAGGTAACATGGCATTTCCCAGAAGTCACCAAGCCAAAGCCCTGGCAAACAGGGGTCCCACAAGGTGCCAGCCCAGTCTCAGACCCCCCAGTCCCAGTCCCATCCCAGTCCCCTCCTCTTGCCAGCCCAGTCCCAATCCCATCATTCCAGGCAGGAAGACCTGAACTGGGATCACCTCTGTGTCTCCCCAGCCCAAACCCCTGCATGCTGGGGGCTGGCACAGCACCATGCACAGGATGTTTTTGGGGGATCAGTGTCCCAAGCAGCAATGCCCCAGACAGCCTGGCCAGCACCAGGACACCAGGCTGCATTGGCACAGGGCTTGTCACCTTTGTATTTGTCTGGCAACAGAGATCAGAAGGATGCAAAACACACCCCTGCCAGGCATCCTCAGCGCAGCAAGGGCTGGGGTCTTGCCCAGGACCCTCCTCCTGATCCCCACCCAGGTGCTCCCTGCTGGCAGCACTGAGCTCCCAGGGCCCACGGGGGTCTGGCTGCACAGGATTGGGTCTGAGGGGGCAGGAGACGAGTGCTCAGGTGGCCTTTGTGGCACCAAGGTGGCCTTTGGGCCTGGCGGCCGTGTCTCCCTGCATCCGCAGCAGCGCTGCTGCCTTGTTGCCACAGCAACGCTCCGGGCCCGCTGCAGCATCCCGCAGCATCCCAGGGCCTGGGCTGGCACACAGGGGACAGCACAGCCCCCTGTCCCTGCCACACAGCCCCTGCACCCGGCAAAGCAGCCCTGGCTGTGCCCACACAGCCTGCCCAGGCACCAGCACCCCCACGGCTGTCCCTGCCTTTCTCCCCGGAGAAGGGGGAGCCCACACAGCATCAGTGCTGCCCCAAACCCACCCAGTAACCAGGACTGGGGGTCTCAGCACATGGAGGGGTCCATCAGCCATGGAAGTGATGAGTTGCTGGGGAAAAAACCCAACCTGGGATCACCACTGTACACAAGGGTGGTAACAGAGGGGCAATGTCACATCAAGCAACACACCAGGACCTCATTTTTGGGCCAGCATCCAAACAAGGGTGGCATTCTAAAAACTTCATGGGACACCCAAGGTGCAGCTGGAGAAGCAACAGATGGACAAGGCTTGCAGGAGGGGACACAGCCACCGTGGGACTGCTAGGAAAGTGATGGTGGCAATGCCAAGGTTAGCATGGTAAGTGTGGGCAAGGAACTGGTGCTCTGTGCCAATGTCACCAAAAATGAAACATCTCAGGGAAATGTTCCAGGTGGTGAGGAGGGAAGCAGGTCCCTGCACACAAGGAACGGGTGGAGGCCTCGCTCTGAACAAACAAAGGAGCAAATTGTTTGGCTTTTTTGGGGCTTAAGGAGATCAAGGCAGATAAGCCTCACCCAGTGGATGAAGAGCAGGTGGGAACCCTACAGAGCCTGTGAACAGGCCAGAGCCTAAACCTGGGGCAGAAGCACCGGAGGCAGCACACAGGCAGGGTGGGATACACTGAGCAGCAGAGTATTTTTCCATCGGGCTGCAGGGAAGGTGACTCTGCTCAGGGGCAGACAAAGCACAAACCCTCACTCCCAGACTGCGGGCCCCATGCCAGCACAGCCGCCGGTGGCCATC